GCAAATTTTCCAATTCATTTATACTTTACCCTGTCCAAAGATGATAAGACCTAACACATATAAAGTTTTAAAATTAAATTACACTTGTTGACTTTCATTTTTAGCATTGTTTTGTAGGCTAAAATTATATTGCTAAATATTGTTTAAGTCTTAAAAATGTAAAGTACAAAAAAATGAGGATTTTAAATTCGTTTTTTATTAAATTTTCAACAAATTTTTTGTCGATTATTGAAATTTTTATTAAAATTATCAAAAAATTGACAAATTTTTCAATGTTTGTTACTTAGTATGCAGATTTACCAACTTATTAAAACCAAATACAGAACTGCTTGAGGCTTTTTTGACTAAGTTATGATTAATTTTCCTTTCCAAGAGGGTACAAATTTTGGCTTTCCGAAGTTAGCTTTCTTTTTGAATGGTATTTAACAAATTATTATAGTATTTATTTATATCTGAAATGTTTCTTCTAATTATAGAAATGCTTAAAAATAATATTTCATATATATATGCATAGTTTTGTTTAAGATATATATAAGAGATATATGTAAAGGAGAAGCTTCTATAAATTACGTATACGCACTCATACCAAATTAAGGCGTTTTCCTTAGACGTTCCTATACAATTAACTCCTACTTCAATTAACTATCCCCATTTTCATACGTGTAAATTTACTGTTAAGGGAAAGACGTAGCATGGAACTTCAGTTTTGACAACACACCCGCTCCCACACACACACGCACACACACACTCCCTTGCAATTACAATGCATTGAGCCGTGAGCGTGCTAGAGTGTCTTTGATTTAGCCAGGTTTGCTAGCAAACTTCTATGAGGGCAGGACCCTCTCAAGCACACAACTCTCGAGGCACACCTCGCTGAAGCTATTTGCATATGAATGGCAAGCAGGTGGAATGCACACACACATATCGGTGGGTTTTGGAGGAGTACGGAGAAGTGCTGCCTGGCTGGCCAGCGCTTATGGCCACGTTAATGGCAAACTAAACTGCAAACTTTTGCTTTTGCCCCGACGCACGCATACGTAATAAAAGGTGTAAATGAGCAAAAGAACCGGCTGCCACCGAGCGGCAGCAGGTGAGTGCGCGGACGAGAGTCCTGGCTGAAAGTCAGCCAGGTGAACGAACAGGTAGCAGCAGCGCCAGCAGCAGCAGACATGGACTTACGCCTTGGCCCATTATAAGGGCCACTTGCTGCCGACCAAGAAGACAGGTTCGCATTTGTTTCGCCAGCACAGCGGGTACAGTGGGTTTTGTTTTTAGCTAATTTTATTATATATAATTTTAATTGAATATTCTTTTATGAATGTATAATTTTTGAAATAAAAATAATTTTAGTAGCTGATAATTGATAATAAGGTTTATTGCCTGAGAATAATAATAAATACCATTTTAAAACATAATTAATTTATGAAAGTATGCAGAATTCTTATAGGAGCTCCGATTCTAACTTTAAGATAAATAAATCAAGTTCTTAAGTAAGTAAATATATTATGAAGAAAGTCAATATTATAGTTAGTTAGCTTTTGATACTTTTGAGAGAGAGAGAGAGAGATGGCATCTTTCTGAAACAGTTGCAAACATCATACTTATTTTAATTAGTAGATGTTTTTGTTTGGCACGTATTCAGCTACTTAATCGAATTGCGAAAGAACAATTCGCGGATATATGTTGCTGTACTTAATTAAGCAATTTATTATCCCAAAAAATTAAATTGAAATCACAAAACACAATCGTAAGTCCTTGACTTTAAATACTATAAATATATGTTTTTAAAATCTAATCCTGAAAATCATTAGCTGTATTCCAAATGAATCCCCAATTTTCAAGTCTACATTTCAATTGAAAACGTCACTTTATATGCCACTGTGGTGTGTGTGAATTAAACTAAATTTAGCGCCACTTTGAGTTACGGCAGCGACGGTGACGGTGACGATGACGATGACTTGGTGGTTGTGGCAGCACCAGGAGCGGGAGCGGGAGCAGGAGCAGGAGCAGGATATTACAATACCAGAGCCGGAATAGTCACGGTCATGGCGACGAGGGTCTGAGGCTTGGCAGTGCAGCGCAAGGACATCATGTTTGCAAATTTATGTAGTTGTAAGTTGGGCCAAAGGAAATGCCATAAAAATGGAAGGCATGGAATTGTGCGGGCAGCGAACAAACGGAGCGACGGATGGATGGTAAGCTCGGACGCGTTTAAAGTGCAATTAGCGCACGTAATTGTAATCGAGTTGGCCAGCAGCCCACCTGCCCCATGGTTTGGGCTTCAAACTCCAAGTCTGATTCCAGTTACCTGACTGCTACCTTCTCTCACCACCAACGCATCTCTGGCTTTCTGCTCTGTTTGCCCACGGGGCTCTGCGTTTTTTGTCGGCTGTTTGGCTCTTTTTTAAAGGCAACCGGGGAGCTGTAAATAAATTTGGCACTTAATCATATTTACGGATTTTGTGGGCACATTTATTTATGCGTCCCACAGTGGCCCCAGAGCTACTTACTGCACTTTTGCTGTGGCCCACCTCCAAGGCTAGCATTTTTTTCGGGCATTGTGATTATTATTATTTTTTGTTGTGTCGAGCCAGGATTTGAGGGACACTCTAGGATTTCTTGGAACGGATGGGAACACAATACGCCCAAGACCAATTTGTGGCCATTCTCAGTCGGTGGCATTTCTGCCTAATTATGCGTTCCCTTCGTAGCATTGTCATGGTTCCTCCTCGTCCCCGTCTCCGAAAAAAGCCAAATCCCGAGCACCAAATGCGAAATGCTAAATCCAAAATGTGTACCTGCCCACGAGGCTAATTAGGCACAAAGCGTTGGCCATTGTTGGCCTGGCTTTGTTAGGCCCGGCCCCACTCTCGGCCAGGTTCACTCACCTGTTCGCTTCCGCTTTTTTGGCTTTATGAATATTTCAGCAGTGAAACGAGCCTTGGAACTGATTTATTTGCCGTATTTGATGGGCGTTCAAAATAAATAAACCAATTTTGGTTCCGGCATTTGTTTTGTTTCCCCTGGTATATCCTGCGGTTGATGTGGCTTTCGTTTAATTTACGTAAGTGTTGCACTTTCGTAGCCGCACTCTCGATGCTTTGAATAATTTGCGGTATGTTTTGATTGGGTTTCAATATAAAATTCACTAAATTGTGTTTGTGTTGTTTTTTTTTTCATTCATTTAAATACAATTACAGACTGTGCCTGTGCAGAGATCAAAGTCAGTTTGAGTAGATCACATTTCAAATAGATGCTTTGTCTGTGTTTATGACTCCTAGCAATTCCCTTGCTCATCATATTCATCGATATATATTTTTCACTATTGTTGCACCGTGATTATTGCTAAGTGCATGTGGGCGGGGGAAGCGGGAAGAAACTGTCACTTGAATGCATTTTCATCACACCTCATTACGTTTCACTTGCATCTGCAATTGTGTCACGGTGCTGATGCCTTTCGCTGCTGCTGCAGCGAGCCTATGAATGGAGGAGGTCCTGGCAACTGACGAGCGAATGGATTCGTTAGCTGAATGGGCTGTGAGTGTTTTTAATTGAAAACAATAAAGTTCTGTTGGGGGAACTGGGCCCACACCCCCCAAACAATGCATTAAATGTAGCAAGTTGTTTTGGGGAAAATTTGTTGACGATTTTCTGATGCTCTTTTTGGGAAGTTCGGGTATGTAGAAGTTTCCAAAAGGAGCATCAGAAATAATTACTTCTAGAGGTAGCTATTGGAAATGTATAACTAAATTACCTTAGTTAAGAAATTAACTATAATTTTCTTATTAAAATATTAAGTAATATCAATAGATATTTCTAAAATCAAAAGATATTTTCCCGACTCTTAGCAATCCGAGTAAACCCATAGAGCTACCTCTTCTGCTATACCCTTATCCTTTGGAGAAGAATCTTCACTAAAAGCTGAGCATTCGATGGATTGTTCGGTTCGCTTTCTTTGTTCGAAGCGTAAAAGGCCCGCCTCCGATGGAAAATGGAAATGAATGTGGAATATGGAATATGGCAGCAACCGACCGAGGCAGATAGAGATTCAGAGCCAGAGCCAGAGCCAGAGCCAGAGCCCGCCATAGATGGATAGATACGAGTCGTGTTCCGAGGCAGACAATACACGAAATGCGAATGCGAAAGTGATAATTAAAAATCGCGCCATATATAGACGCTGGTTACCAGATACTGCTGTTGTTGCTGTTGTTGTTTTTCCCCGGCTTGAAATGGTTATTGTTTATGATTTTTTCCCGCTACCGGGCAGGATATTCGCATTGCAATCAACACTGGCTGGTAGGAGTGAGACCAGGACTGGGAGTGGCATGTGGGACGGAGTCGCTTGAATGAAGTGATCAATGCGCCTAACAATGATTGACGCCATTTCCCGCAGAGGGAGACAATGGAAATCGGTGGCGGCGATATGGGAGAGGCCGCAGCAGCCTGTCGAAGATGAGGCGGATGAGACTGACAAACAATTATGCAAAAATTGCAAACGCTTGCAGATTTGAGCAGAAAATTAATTTTGCATTTTTAATTTTACACACACACACAAACACACACACAGCCAAGGGCATGGGGGGCTTAAAGCCAGGGTAGAGATGCCGAGCTGTCGAGCGTTGGCAGCTTGCTTGGAATTGCTGCGACGGCAATCTGCACTGCTCACAAAGGATTGATAAGTCCTTGGCTAGGCCTACACTTTGAGAAAACTTGATAGAATATTTAAGATCATCAGAAACGTTACAATATTCAACATATTTCAAAGGTATTGGGGAGAATCAATGGAGAATCAATGTCTCAATAACAACATTAACTATCTCATATATTCCCCAGAAATACCCTATCACTTCCCCCAGTGTAAAACATCACGCGAGCAGCTATCGATGGCGGAGCTCTCTATGGCCACGTACCCCTCTAAGGGTGGCCTGTTTGCTTGCTTCCCGATCTGAAATTCCGAAATCATTCCGCAATCGGAAGACCTCATCGTTGGTAGTGCCAAGATGTTTCAAGCGGATCGCCGAAAGTTGGCTTGCCTGCCGCCTGTCAAGCTGGAGCAGGACCATCAGGAGCAGCAAAAGGACCTTCTCAATAGTATAGTGATAGTCCCAGAGCCGAATCCTGAGCGCCAGGACATGCAGTTCCCGGATATCTGGCTGCGCGACAATTGCCGCTGCCCGGAGTGCTATTTGCCGCAGACCCTGAGCCGTCTGCCCCAGCTGTGGAATAACCTGGACACCAGTGTGCATGTCCTGCGACAGAGTGTGGATCTGCAGCAGCAGGTCCTGTACATAGATTGGTCCGATGGCCATGCCTCTCAATATCCCTATGACTGGCTTAGGGAGCGGGACTTTTCGGCAGCAAATCGCGAGCGGTACCTTAGGGAATCCTATCGCCCCGAGCAGCAGTTGTGGACTGGCCAGGACTTTGAGGCGATACGGCGTACCTTCTACTTTCAGGAACTGATAACCAGCGACTTGGCATTGCAGCAATGGCTTCACCATTTGGCTGTTTATGGGGTGGCCCTGGTAAGGGAGGCCCCTCTGGAGATGGATGTCCTGCGGCGCCTGGCCAACCGAGTGGGTTTTATGCGACGCACCACCTACGGCGAGGAGTTCAGTGTGAGAGCCCAACCGGGAGCAAGTAACTATGCCTATCTAGCCGCTCCCCTGCCCCTGCACACGGATATGCCTTATTTTGAGTACCTGCCCGGAGTGACCATGCTGCACACCCTGGAGCAATCCGCCTCGCCAGGAGGGGTTAACCTGCTCGCCGATGCTTTCTATGTGGCTGAGGTCATGCGAGATCGCCATCCTGACGAGTTCCGGGTGCTCTGCCAGACGCCTGTCGATTGGGCTGACAAGGGACACGATGGCGACCTGCATTTCCACAACATCTGGCGGGCACCGGTCATCAAGTGAGTGTGTTACTTAATCCTTAAACCAGGCATGATTTCAAACAACCACATCCTTCAGCTTGGATTCCGAGGGGCGATATGTTCGGATTAACCACAGCATTCCCCAGCGCGACAGCCACTTTAGCGTGCCGCTGGAGCAGGTGCGACCTTGGTACGAGGCCATGGCCACATTTGTGCGCCTGGCCCATGAGCACTCGTGCCGCTTCAAGACCACGCCCGGTGACGTGCTCACCTTTGACAACCTGCGCCTGGTTCATGGACGCACCGGATATGATGACACGGATCGTAATGTGCGCCACATCCTGGGCGCCTTTATCGACTGGGATATTGTCTACTCACGGCTGAGGGTCTTGCAGGACGCTCACACTTGTCCCGAATCCGCTTAGATGGCTGCATCCTTGTATTTTCCCGTATTAATTACGAACATTAACCCTTGACTGCGCCCAGTGCCGCCTGTCACCTTGATTGACACATCACACTGTATTGCATAGACTTAATGAAATTATTACCATATATTCACATTTATGCTGTAATTGAAAATAAACACTCAGTGGCATTTTAAATAAATAAATACCATTTTAATTGATTTCTGCCTTTGACACACTTCAATGCTAATTGATGCTCTTTAATTGGGTTATACATGTGATTTAAAGTAAAACATGGGATTTTAAGCCTGGTTCTACTTCTACTGCTGCCCATCGGCCAGCAATAATCACTCAAAATAATCGCAATCTAAACTTGAACATCTGGCTGATAAGTTATTCCCTGAAAGTGAATGCCCTGCCAGAAACTTAATTTGAAACTGAAATGTGATACTATTTATGTGTTTTTGACTTGTTGTTTGGTAGTTTAAATAATAGCTTAATTATTTCAGAAAATATTTAACACTGAATGACGTTTAGTTTTCATTCTGTTGATAAAATTACGATTGATACCTAAAGTAAATCATTAGCCAACTTAATTATATATTTAAATTAAAGCCAATGGTATTTTCTATTTAGTGTAGATATTTGTTATAAGTAAGGCATTGTTAAAATTAGGAATATTTTTTATATTCATATACATATTCTGAAAAATCTATTAAACCTAATATTTGTATAACTTTTTAAATTATTTAACTCTTAATAGACATAATAACAAAACTCAAACTAATAAGAGTGTTGCCTTAATACCCAATAATAAAGAGTATGGATTTATTTAAAAATGTATTAAAAATATATTCAAGAATGAAAGCTAATTTCGGTAAATCAAAAAAATTCCTATACCCTTACCCTTACAAAGAAAATCCATCTTAGCTCATTCAAAAATGCATTAATTTTCGATCGGAAACCGTTCCTATGCTATGTTTTTATTAGCTTAATAAATCTGCATACTCAATTAAAAATGTTACAAAATTAACATTCTATTTTTGAAAATTTTAACCCCTTATTGTTTTTTGAAATCGAAAAATTTTTAATTATTTTATTTTCAACTGGACATAGCTAAATAGACTTAGCTGTTGATTCTAATCAAGAATATATATCACCAAGTTTCACTCTTCTGACTGAAATTATAATACCCAGAAAGGGTATAAAACCTAGTCGGCAATGATTGCCGTAGAAGGTGGCTTCCCCATCTCCAAGCGGACAGCTGCCGGCGGCCAAACAGGCCACTTCAAGTGAAAGTCCAGCACACGTCATTGTTTACGCCGGACAACAAAGTGGCTTATCAGTGGCCAGTTGAGTTGAGTCAACAGTGTGTCTACACATGTGCTGCTGCCCGGTTATCAATCGCCGACTTGGCAGAGCAGAGCTCTCGGCTGATGGCTCCCGGCTTCTGCTTTCCGGCGTGTGTGTAAATCACACCCACACTTACCTTTTGGATCCGCATCCGGATATACTGAATGCGACATACGGATTTTAGCGGGACAGGAAGAAACTTTCGGTTTGTCTTCTTGTCTTGCCTGCCAGGGTTCTTTTTTTTTTTTCTTTTTTGGGTGTGTGTTTTTCGGTTGCTCCGGGTGAGCAGCTTGGGTGCGGTGGCCCGCAGGCAAATCCTTTGGAAATCTTTTTATTTATGTCATTGATGCCACAGCAAAACATAGCAATGGGTGAGACAGGGAGCCGGATTCCAAGTTGGAGCACATGAATTCGTACATGGCAGCGAGTAAATCCCTCTAATAATCCACATAATAAGCACTGGAGTAGCTTGTGGCAGCAACAGGCCGAGCCGAAAGGGTTGCCGCTCGGTGCCCCGGCTCTTGTTTATAAGTTCATAAAAGTCAACGAGCCGGCGCGGCGCGGGATGGGGCGGAGGCACATAAAAATACAAAAAAAGAAAACGGGCCAAATGCAAACGGAAAATGGCCAAAAAGAAAAGTCTGAGCAAAGCCAGCAGTCGCAAATCCAATTTCTTCGCAATGTGTGTGTGTGGGTTTCTAGAGGGGTTTTTTGCTGAAATTTTACTGCAGTTTGTGGTGCGGACCGTGCAGCAGTCATAATGTGTAATTGAAAACCTGCTCTGAATCGCACCCTTGGGTGATGTACACCCCCTGTTTTATCCTAAAAAAAATGGGGTGAGAAAAACACAAATGTGAAAAACCCCTCTAATTGGCAGCATGGTCAACCGGGAAACAAATTGTGTGACAGATACGGAAATGTGGTCATTAGGTAAGGAAGTTACAGGTAAAAGATACAGGGGTATGTATACCAAGATAAGAAGGGTGAAAGATACAAGAAAATGTTCACAGAATAATTATATACATATATATTCTAGAAATAGAATAGAAAATGTACAGCTAATGGTTCTTGCTCTGAATATTCTACTCAAGAAAGTCTTCCTTAAAATGTATTCACTTATTTTTCTACAACCTTAAATTCATTTTCAACTCATTTTAAAAGTCTCTCAAAATACCATAAACTTTATTTTTATGAACATAAATACTCTCTTTCTTAAATAAATATGACATTCTTTTTATTTGTCCCCAAAATCCAAGTCAGAATGTGTCACTAAAGCACGACATTCATGATCTGATTGACCCTTATTTTGGTGTGTTTCTGTCCTTTTGAAGTCAGCAAATACGGATGAAGAAAGGGTTTTTCCAGCACAACATTTGCACAATGGCCAAACTAATACGCTTACACACAATTTCCACAATTTCCGCTCTTGGCGAACCGCCTTCTTGGCCTGCCTCCTTGACTGGCTTTCGGATTTCGGCCACGAGAATGCCAAGTTTGGCTGTCACAATGATAAACATGCGGCAATTGACGCAATCATTGTCTGTCCATGAATTGAATTAAATCAACTGAAGTGCGACATGGCTCCCCCTCTCTTTGGGCTGACACTTGCAAAATCAGCGAAGGACATCTATATTTTCTAGTGTGTTTGGGTGTGCGCGATTTCTGTGGAAAATTAATGCCTTGGTTATGCTTGGCATGGCACCGAAATCAAGCCAAGTATAGGTTACAACCGATGATTGTCAGTGGGTGTGTGTGTGTGGGACGAACAAGGGTTAAGGGTGCTCCTTGGGTAATGCCCCATAATTCCGTTTCGTTTCCGTTTGATTCCGTTGCAGGACAGCGCATTTCGCTTATTAGAATCCGCTTGTGCTCCTCGGAGGATGTGTGTGCGAGTCGTAGTCGTATCCTGAATGTGAGCTCTCTGATGCCGCTGGAGGGTAATAAATTCCGGGACGCCCCCCTCGTCCTGTCTTGGCAATTTCAAAGTTTATCACCAACGCGCGTCTGCAACTTATGTCGTCCTTTGGATCTGCTTCTTCTGTAGCAAGCTCCTGCTACTGCTGCTCCTGCTCCAGCTCTTCCTCCTCCTCTTGCTCCAGCTCTTGTTTGTCTGCACGTCTGTTGTGGTTATGTGAAATCACATCGTAAAAATGTCCAGGACCAAATGCCGTGTGTGTGCTGTGTGGGGGTGTGGAGTGGTGTGCGGGGCGGCGGCCAAAGCCCATAAGTCCTGCCTGTCTCACCTGAGTTTCTGCCGCTCGTGTGGCGCGCAACCCTTTCGCCATTCAATTTATAGATGCCGTCCATATAAATATTTATTTCTATGTGCAAGCTGCCTGCCCCTTTGACACCACGCCGCGGCATCATTATTATTTTTATGCGCCGTGTCTTAAAAGCATTCCGCCGATCAATAAACCAGCGATGTGCCGCCGTGCCGCCTTCCTGCCAAGCATCCTTGCTGCTGCATCCTTTCCCATCCATTGCGTCCTTTCCAATAAGCGAAAGTGGTTTTTGAACCCACGGCGTACGTGTGTTTGGAGGTGGGAGTGGGCGCCATCAAACAATTAAAGGTCATCCCAATTCCGATCCCCCCAAATAACGAAATGGGCTACGTTCGCGTAATCCTAACTGGGCCAAATCCCGGCGAACACTGTCACGGCAGCATTAGCCGGTTGTCAGCACCGCTGCCAACCGAGTAACAATGCAAAATGCAAATAATTTTCCATTTAGCCGCCAGGCAACCAGCGACATCATTTGGCATTTTTAATTAGGCTAACACAGCTGCCATCGCACAATGCAGCAGGGGGCATTAGACTATAAAAGCCATGTTAATGGATCCGTGATACATATTCTTTCATGAGGTGAATGCTTATTTTGTTTTTTTGAGGACAGGTATTTAGATAATGCTGCCTATGGAACTAATGTTTTTTTATTGCTTAGTGGGTTGATTAAATATTTCCTAGACTGAAGTTCCATGATTAATTGAACATGGTATAATAAAATTTAGTCAAAAGTTATGCATTGCGTAATCCCTTAATTATCTCTTAATTGCATAAATGATATTATCAGACCAATAAAATAAATTCTACTAATATTTTCCTCATTGCATTGGGATTCAACAATTAGTCGGAAATATTTAAATATATAGTAATCGTCAAATACTATAAGCTTTCTTGGGTTTCACGAACAATTGGCTTAATTGCAGCCACTGACAGGCCAAATAGTAAATGGCAAAAATATGTAAATACAAATTTCGGAGATGTGTATATGTATATATGCTATGTGAATAATTTCTACATTTGCTAACGTTAAGCAGAGTTTAGAATCTTTGAAATTGACGCAATGTAAATGCTGAATTGCTGCCTGTAGCCTCTCATAATGACCATCATCATCATCATCATCATCATCATTGCGGTGGAAACATTGTAATTAGGGGGAGTCCAGGAATTGAGTTACGCTCTGAATTAATAACATTTCCGGCATTATAATTTGGACAATATATCACGGGTGTTATCGTGATGCCAGTGAAAAGGACCATTGGCTGCCACAGCAGCAGGAGCGGCAGCAGGAGCAGGAGGCCGATTGGCCAATGTTGCCTTGTGGCTTGTGGCATGCAAAACGTAACGGTAAATTGGTTAACAATTACACAAATCTCATAATGAAGTTAA